GGTCACCTCCTGGGTCTGTTGAACTGAAGCCTCTCCAGGAACACCATGAGCTCTTCAGTCCCCTCTGTCACCAGGTGCCAACACTCAACATCACAGGCTACAATGGTCCCTGGATTGTAGGACAACTCCAACCTTACCAACCACCCAACTGGGACACGACTTGCTCTGCCCAAGTCTGGTCTCCTGCACCCACATCTCCTTGAGCTGAAACCTCAACCAGCCCAGAAGAACATGGTGATGATGCTCTGCTCACCATCAAGCTCACACACTCCACATGCCATAGGAGCAGTTTCTATAGGATCACATCAGCTTGGCCATGGGGAAAGAAAAAAACAACCCACCCAAGGCTGGCTTGGAAGACCCTCAAGCTCCACCACCAACCTTGCAATGGGTTTCCAGCCAAGTTCACTTCTCCACACCAAAAAAACCCCACCCAAACATCCCCCCCCCAAACAACCAACCACCAAACCCTCTCGGGCTCTTTTTATTTATTATCAATTCTTCCTTTTTTTGTTTTTGTTTTTTTTTTCTTTTTTTTGGTGGGTTTTTATTTTTTGGAAACATTTTAATAGTTCTTCAATGTTCTACATCTTACAGTAAATATGGTACAAGTTACAAACTCTTGGCTGAAATCTGTCAGGGAGATCACAGACCTGATCTTCAGACCCGAGAAACCAGAAAATAAATGGGATTTTAAAAAAAAACAACACAAAAAAACCCAAACAAACCCACAACCCCCCAAAAAAACACCAATAAAACCCCCAAACAAACCCCAAATTTACACTGGAGATGGACAAAGTGAGGCCTTGGGGGGGGGGAGGGGGAGGGTGGTTCTCCAGGGCATCAGTTCAAGGCCATGTTCCCTACATGCCTTTGAGACTTGGAAGACATGGTTACTCTTGGGTTTGAATGGGATTATTTATTTTTTTTTTCCTCATTTTTTGGTTATTTTTTATAATTTCTTTTGGCCCAAGAGGTCCAATAATATTTAAAAACAAAAAACCAAGCTGGTCTGGTGGTCAAAATGAATCAAACAATGAACAACATCCCAGGAGGGGCAGGAGCGGCTCCATCCCGTGGGAATGGGTTTGGGTACCACCCTGCATCCCACCAGCTCCTTTTTCCCTCCATCCCTGTGCTTCCCACTGCCTTCCCACCCCACAAATCCCTCCCTTGATCCTCCAACCCTCCCAACTTTGTCCCAGGAAAAGGTCCCTCCCAGCCCTCCCAGCTCCAGCCCCTGCAGGGAGCTGTGCCCGTGCTGCAGGTGGCCTTGTTGCACCAGGAGTTTTCCCCTCCCAACAGCACCATGGAGCATTTCCAACTGGGAATTACTGCTGTTCAACCACATCTTTTGCTCTTCCTGCTTTGGGAACATCCCTAAACCAGGTTCTTTCACCCAATGACCACTGGATCTGGAAGCACCACGGTGCGACACGCTGGGAAAAAAAAGCGCCTTTTCCGAACTCTCCTCCCTCCCAAGCTCTGTATTTTCCCTGTTTTTCCCCTTTTCCTATGGGAATGTTGGCACGTGGCAGAGAAAACATCCAGAGGCTGATCCCACTGGGAGCCTGATGGGTTTGGGAGCCTGGTGCTCACAGCAAGATGAGCTGAGGGTCCCAGCGTTCCGGGAACGTCGGAGGGTCGGAAAATATTGACCATTAAAAAACCAACCCAAGCATAAACCCCCCCAAAAAACCTGGATTTTGGGATATCCAGTGGCTCTTATTGCTCTTTTTGGGGTTTCCTCTGGAAAATCAAAACCTTCCAATGTGGGTTTTCCCTTCCTCTTTCTTAAGAAAGCAAGACCTGATTTAAGGTGTTGTCCCGACATCCCGTGGGATGCAGGAGCTGGGGTTGTCTCCTTGGGAAGGACCATATTCCATGGGATGCCCTGGGAACATCCATTGTTTTTTTGTAAGAAAACAAACCACCACCACCAAAACAAACCCTTGAAATAACACTTTATGGGATTTCCATCCTGAAACTGCAAAAAAAAAGCTGGACTGGGTTATGAATATCCATAAAAACCAGGAACAAATCCAGGCCCGGAGGGTCCTGCCACTTGGAAGCAGGATGGGAAAAGGCTCCATGGGGTTCCTTGGGATTGGGGGCCACCACCACCAGGAACCCACCTTCTCCTCCCACCCCCAAACCTCACCTTACAGCTCTAAAGCAAAGCCAAGGGCAGGGAGGGGTTAATGGTCCCAGCAATGGTTGGAGAGGTATTTTTCCTTCCTCTTTTTAGCTGGAATTTTCATCTCTGAGACCTTTTGGGTGGTTTGACCCCTCCTGCTCTTCCTG